CCAGATTTTTGTGGGCTTGCACTGGGGTCCACCCTCCGAGCCAATAATCTTTGTTTCCAGGTTAGACTGACAGGCAAGCACCTTCCCTATGTCACCCCGACTTCACTGCACATGCTCCCATCTTCTCCTTCGTTGGACCTCTTCGCCCAGTGATCTTCAGGGGATGGACCAGTGGTTCCCCAGGGAGAGTGAAACTGCAGCTTCCTGGTGAAGCTGCCCAGATGACCATGCTTAGAATGTCTGGCCTTCATTTTGCTTTCTTTCAATTATTAATAGCTAGCTAGTTATGATGGTAATAGTACCAAGTGTTGGTAGAGTTAGGGAAAAGGAGGAACTCTCAAATTGCTGATGGGAGGATCAAGGGATCCAAGTACTTGGGGAGCGAGTGGGAACATCCAGGCAATGAGGGGGACTGCAGGTACTCACCCAAGTTCACAAAACAGGATGCCCCACGTAGTCTAGTTACAATACAGAAATCCTGAAAAATCCTGGACTCTCTGTCAACAGCATAACAGGATAAACAGTAGAATTTCATACAATAGAATAACAAAAATAGTTAAAATAACTGACCCAGAGCTACACTCCTATACTTGAACGTCTTAAGAATATAACAGTAAATTGTTTAAATTGTCAAATATGTACAGTATGACATCATTTGTATAAAGTTTTAAAAACATGCTGACATGCAAAACTAAACATGGATGGGAAGGACAGAAGTTGACTTCAGGGCAGTGGAACAGTAATAGGGTTGGGACAGGATACAAACAGGCCTTCAGAATCAGAAGATTGGATCTGTAAAAACAAATCTGGACAAGATGTTAAGATTAGTTGACTGATATGGTGGGATACAAGTGTTTACATGCCAGTTCTCTGTTCTTTTCAGTATGTTTGAATTATCTTTTTTTTTTTTTTTTGCTTTTATCTTCAGATAGAGCAGGAGAGAGAGACACACATCGAGTGGTCACCACCCACATGACCCCAACCAGGGCCAGGGACAAACTGCAACCAAGGTACGTGCCCCTAGCGGGAACTGAACCCATGACTCTCCGGTCCACAGGCCAATGCTCTAACTGCTGAGCAAAACTGGCCAGGGCGAATTATTATTTTTTTAATCCTCCTTTTTCCTCTCCTCCACTGTGTGCTCCCAGCTACTCAGGGACCAAGCTTCTACAGGTAGTCTCTTCAAAGATCTTTGTTTTCTCTTGACTGTAACAGTGAAATGCGGGCTGTCTTGGACTTAATTCTGGCCTGCATTTCTTTTCTTTTTTTAAAATTAATTAATTAATTAATTTTTGTTAGATATTTCTCCTTTTTCCTCCCACTGATTCCCCCCTCCCTCCCCCTCCCTGCCCTGTCCCCAGCTTTGTTGTCCATTCCATTGTTCATGCATACATGTATATAAATTCTGTGGTTTCTCTCTCCCCCACCATCCCCTCTTCTGAAGATTGCCAGTCTGTACCCCACTTCCACGTCTCTGGGACTACCCCATTCCTCAGACTGTTATGTTCATTATATTCCACAAATAAGTGAGATCATATGATACTTGTCTTTCTCTGTTTGGCTTGTTTCACTTAGGATAATTCTTTCCAGTTCCCTCCATGTTGTCTCAAAGGATAAGAGAGCTTTCTTTCTTACAGCTGCATAGTACTCTATTGTGTATATGTACCACAGTTTTTTTTATCCATTCGTCTACTGATGGACATTTGGGCTGTTTCCAGATCTTAGCTATTGTAAATAGTGCTGCTACAAACATGGGGGATACATATATTCTTTCTGATTGGTGTTTCAGGCTTCTTAGGGTATATTCCTAGAAGTGGGATCACTGGGTCAACTGGCAGTTCAATTTTTAATTTTTTGAGGTAACACCATATTGTTTTCCATAGTGGCTGTACCAGTCTGCATTCCCACCAGCAGTGTACTAGAGTCCCCTTTTCTCCATACTCTTGCCAACACTTGTTTGATGATTTGTTGATGGTGGCCATTCTGACAGGTGTGAGGTGATACCTCATTATTGTTTTAATTTGCATCTCTCTGGTGATTAGTGATGTTGAACATTTCTTCATATGTCTCTTGGCCATTTGTATGTCCTGTTTGGAGAAGTGTCTATTTAGTTCCTCTGCCCATTTTTTAATTGGGTTGTTTTCCTTTTGTTGAGTTGTATGAGCACTCTATATATATTGGAAATTAACCCCTTATCTGATATACCATTGGCAATTATGTTCTCCCATACAGTTGGTTGCCTTTCCATTTTGATGATTGTTTCTTTTGCTGTGCAGAAGCTTTTGAGTTTGATGTAGTCCCATGTGTTCATTTTCTCCTTTGTTTCTGTTGCTTTAGGTGATGTATCAGTGAAAATTCTACTGCATATGATGTCTGAAATTTTGTTGCCTACATTTTCTTCCAGATTTTTATGGATTCATGAGTCACATTTAAGTCTTTTATCCATTTTGAGTTTAATCTTGTGTATGGTATAAGTTGATGGTCTAGTTTCTTTTTTTTGCATGTAGCTGTCCAATTTTCCCAACACCATTTATTTTATTTATTTATTTTTAATCCTCACCCGAGGACATTTTTTTGTTGTTGTTGTTCAGATAGAGTGGGAGAGAGAGAAAGAGAGAAACATCGACGTGAAAGGAACACATTGAGTGGTTGCCACCCGCACGACCCAACCAGGGCCGGGGATAAACTGCAACTGAGGCACATGCCCTTAGTGGCAACCGAACCCGGGTCTCTCTGGACCGCGGGCCGATGTTCTAACCGCTAAGCCAAACCAGCCAGGGTCCAACACCATTTATTAAAGAAGCTGTCTTTACTCCACTATATGCTCTTGCCACCTTTGTCAAATATTAATTGAGCACATTGCCTTGGGTCCATTTCTTTATGGCCTTCAGGTGAATAGCTCCTGCTGTAGATATGGTTATTAGAGGAATTCTGCTTGAGAGTTGAGCTTTTAGCAGAGATTTGCAGGAGCCTCAAGACAGAATCACATCAGCAGGGGTCATCAAAGAGATTTAGAGACTTCCCCCCTCTCCCTTGATTCCCTATTGGCACCTAGGTGTTACCTGCCTCTTGCCCTACCCCTCCTTCCTTCCTTTGACATAAAAGATGCCTTAATTCTGGGCTCTCTTAAGCTGGATTTGCAGAATTTATACCACCCTCCCATCTTCTCGAGCTGGCAACTTCTAGATCGAGAAAGCTTTTCTTACTCCAAACTCTGATATTTTAAATATCTGCCTTTTGGCCCTGACCAGTTTGGTTCAGTGGTTAGAGCATCGGCCTGTGGTCCAGAGAGACCCAGGTTCGGTTCCCGCTAAGGGAATATACCTTGGTTGCAGTTTGTCCCTGGCCCCGGTGTGGGTGGCAACCATTTGATGTGCTTCTCTCACATTGATGTTTCTCTCTCTCCCTCCCACTCCATCTGAACAAAAAATGGAAAAATGTCCTTGGGTGAGGATAAGAAAAAAAAAAAATCTGCCTTTTGCCCTGGCCAGTTTGGCTCAGCGGTTAGAGCGTCCGCCCACAGACCAGAGAGTCCCGGGTTCGGTTCTCTCTAAGGGTACGTATCTAGGTTGCAGTTCATCCCCAGCCCTGGTTGGGTTCATGCAGGTGGCAGCCAGTTGATGTGTCTCTCTCACATCGATATTTCTCTCTCTCTCTTCCTCCCTCTCTCTCTCCCGCTCTATCTGAAGATAAATGCAAAAATGTCCTCAGGTAAGGATAGAAAAAATATATACATCTGCCTTTTTTTGAAGCATCAGGCACATAAACCTTGACTTGGTAACACAATGGTTCTTACCCTTTGGTCTTTTCACATGTACTTATTTCTCCCGGTCTTAACACTTAACCATACTCTTCATCATGGCACCCCTCATCTCTCCCTGTCGCTCTGCTTTTAAAAGGCTTCTACCTTCTGCTTTACCTCCGAATGTGGCCTCCACCCCCGGCACCCTGGTCAGGCCTTTGAAAAGACCTCTTTAAGTCTAACAAATCCAAACACCTGTCAAATCTCATCTTTCAAAGCCCCACACTAAAGCCGCTCTTTCAAGATAAACTGCCACATCCAGTGAGCTTCTTCCAATGTTTCTTCCCCTTTGATCTCCTGGGAGTTTTCACCATCAGGGACCAGCCCTCACCTTCTTAAAACTATCCCTACTTTTAGCTTGCACCACTGTGGTGCCTCCACCCTGGGTGTCCAACTGCAAGTCAGTCACAGCCAGTTACAGCTCTCAGATTCCAACCCCCCGTGCTCAGAACCACCACCACCACCAGGCCGACCCACATCTGGCTTCCCACCCCTGCTCTTCTGCAAACAGAGGAGGCTCCTGTCATACATCAAAACACAAAATCCTCATTCGTCTTGTGATGAATGGCCAGCTTCAAGCACACATTATTCCTGGAACAAGGAGACAGCCACCGGTCCGCAGCGCACACACAGCACCTGCGTCCCCTCACTGCTCTGACAGCCATGCTCCCAGTGGGCTCGGAGGCTGCTCTGGGCTGTTTCAAGAGGCTCCAGTTCACCCCAACAGATTCTCCCTGCAACCAGTGAATGCTAGAGAGGAAAGGAAAACCCAGCCTGTCCACATCCCCACCTCAGTGCCCAGAGAGACGGCTGGAGGAGGGTGAGCTTCTGAACACGGGCCCTCACCTTGCCCCGACTGCGCGCTGGTATCTGACCAGGACACTTGCTCTGTTTTGGCAACCACCTTGCAGGGTTTCTGGTGACGTGCACAGTTGAAGCCAGCACGTTGTGTGTGCTTGGCACCCTCAGCCTGATGCACCTCGAAGCTGTCAACTACTAGGCCTCAGGGCTCTCTGCACACCTTTGCTGAAGGGAACTTTCTAAAGAAATGATTGCAGAGATGGGGGAGGGGGCAGTTAAGCCTCTCTCCTTTGTAACTGGGCGAATCTCCTTTCTGTGCCCAGAGATCCATTATCCCAAGAGTGGCCATGAGATGCAGGGACGAGGCCAACACTGACAAACACACCAAACTCCAATATTCCATTGGGAGTCATCTTTTTATTGATATTAATATTAAGCCACTTCTCAGCAGAACTGCTGTAACAAGATTAGGACTTGATTTCTAAAGGTAATAAAATATCATAGACAAAGCACTGGGAACGTTCCTTGCAGAGAAAATCGGCTTTTCTCCTCAGGCCAGAATGCCCAGGTTCTTGGTGCTGTCCTGGCATGAACTCCTGGTCCTGATACATACTCAACCTTCCTTCATCTTGGCCCTCAGAACAGTCCAGGCTGGCAGGCGTGGCAGGTGGCCTTCTCCGTGCCCCTCCCCCATCACGTACCCTTCCTCCGTTCATCTGGATCAGCTTCCTGTGTTTCTAGTCGTGAAGTGAGTGCCTCGTGAAGGGGTGAGCCACGGTCTGGTGACAGAACTAGCACCAAAAAGCTGGTTCTTCTTCACGAAGTAAACACAGTACATTTCCATTCTTGTTTTATTTTTTCCTAAGGAAAGAAGAGTCTTAAAAATATATGGCACTAGAGTGTACAACTATACGACTGCATCGTTACGATTTCCCACAGCGCCCAGCCGAGCCGTGTGTTCCTTCAGATGCAGAGCTGATGGGAGGCCAAGGTGTCCATGAACGGGCGCACCAGGTTGTCTGTGGAGAAGTAGAAGATGAGCCCAAACGTGATGGAGATGGGAAGGGCGGGCAGCGCTTTCTTGAACACGGCAAGCAGCAGGAGGGTCAGACACAAGCCCTGTGGGACACCAGGGGAGGGGAGCGGAGCAGTTAGTGATGGCCTCTGTCCTGGGCTCAGGGGCTTGTCAAGGACTTGTTGGTCAACAGTCCTGCACGCCCATCACCTTCTTGGGTCCTCTCAACAGCTCTGCAAGGGGCCCGAGGGCCAGAGTTCTCACCCCCATCATAACACCCTGCACATTAACGGGTGAACCAGAAAGCGGCCTCCTGACTTGTACATAGTGCTACCCCTACCAGACTACCTTCCCTGCCTGGCTACATAGTGACACGTATGACCTGAAGGCAGCATGCCTCCCCCTCGGGGGACAAACATCTATAGGAGAGTTGGATGGGCTTGACTGAAATGCCAGTGAGGGTCTAGAAACTGACACCAAGGGAATCAACGATGCCACGTGACTCCTCCCCTCGGAAGCAGGTGCCCATTCTGTCCCTGCCCCAGCAGATACAGGCAGTGGTCCAGGGTGGGGACCAGGAACCAGAGTGCCTGTTTTATCCTTGGAGGAAGCAGGGCTTCAGGTCAGACAATGCAGAGGTGGAGGAGCCTGGGGTCCACTACCCATATCGGATACCTTCTGTGGACAGATACAAAATCTCTAAAGAACTGAACCTCAGCCTTAATGTGCCACGTGTTGCCCAGGGTTCACAGGGGCAGAAGCCTGGGTATGTCCCCCCTCAGAGCCTCTGCCACTGAGAAGCAGTCATCATAGTTTGTTTCCCCCAGTGCACGTACCTGGCCACATTAAATGACTACAGGGACTTCCAAATTCCATTGCCAGGGCTCAAAATGATGGGCTTCCCCTCCCGAATCCTGGGAGACTGCTGGGATTCAGAACCCCATGGTGTGTGGGTGGTATGAAGGGGAACACACCCAGCCTGACAGAGACCCGAGTTCAAATCATAGCTCGTCCTTTACTAGTGTTGTGCCCAGAGGCAAGGTCCTCAAACTATTTCCTCTTCCATAAATCTCAGGTGTCAGGACACAAGTGCACAAAGCTGGCCAAGCCTCTGCTACCCTGGCATGCATGCTCAGTAGCATCACAGGCCCGCGGTCACCCCTCCCTTGCACCGTCACTGAGTCTTGTCGACACCCAAAACCTCTTGTACGCCTCAGTCTCAAGTTGAGGATTTTGGAACCCCACCCAGTCCCCACCACTTCTACCTCTCTCAGACACCACAGCATCTGAAAATTCTCCTGGGATCCTGGGCCCCAGTGAAGGCACCCAGGGCCTCCCTGCCCACTTACAATGAGGATGGCCACAAAGCAGGCCAGCGTGGTATTCCAGTCCCCGCTGCCCGTGGCCGCTGCCTTGCCCACCAGCACGCTGTAGAAGATGAAGTCTCCAAGGCCAAGCTTCACCCCCCCTGTGTGGGGAAGACAGAGTGAGTCCATCATCTCAGAAGTCCCAAGACGGAGCAGCACAAAGGTGGACAGCAGCCAGACAGCCAGGGGCCCCGAGGACAGAGTCCCGAGGCACTCAGGGGGCCAGATGAGGTAGCTTCACCTCCCAGCCCACCTCATCTAGACTCTGGGACAAGGACTGGCTGCCTCAGAAAGACATTAGCCAACAGGAAAAGGGGAACCCGTGGATTGAGTGACCTGCAATCTGGTCAGTGAAAAGCTGGTATGTTTGATAAGTCAGGTAAAACTGGTGCTTGGCTTACTTTAATATAAAATCAAATAAAATGCATTGTTTGGGGTTGGTGGGATGTCGTATAACATAGTGCTGAGTTTGAATTGTAAGTATTTTTTAGGAAATTTAATTTCACTACTTGTAAGAACATGTACAACACCTAGAGGTCCTCTGGAGACCTTTTCCCCTTAAAAATTGATAAATGTATTTGTAATTAGCGTATCTCTTAATGAAAAGTAAATGAGAGCCTCTAGAATGCTTTCATGTCTGTTTCCTTCAGTACAGTTGTCGCTGGACACCTGCATAGGATAATTCTGTTCGCTGCGGGCAGTGAAAATCGGCCTGCATCAAGAACTGCTTGCCTCGCCCTGGCCGGTTTGGCTCAGCAGTTAGAGCATCGGCCTGCGGTCTGGAGAGACCCGGGTTCGGTTCCTGCTAAGGGCGCGTACCTCGGTTGCAGTTTGTCCCCAGCCCTGGTTGGGTCGTGTGGGTGGCAACCACTCGATGTGTCGCTTTCACATCGATGTTTCTCTCTCTCTCTCTCCCTCCCACTCTATCTGAACAAAATATCGAAAAATGTCCTCGGGTGAGTATAAAAAAAAAAAAAAAAAAAAAAGAACTGCTTGCCTCATACATCCACACCCGCCTCCCTTCCAGGCCCGTGTCCCTCTTCCTGGTCAAGGCAGTATCTGTCCCCAGCTGAACCTCTGGGAGCTAAGCTCAAAAGTTACTTCTCAGGCAACTCTCTGAGCTGACACCTGGTCAAGAACCCCGTTAGTGCTCCACAGCCCGTATTCTCCTGCACAGACCCGACTCAAAGTGTTTGAGATCAGTGCCCACCCCTGTGAGATGTGAGTCCCACCAGAGCCGGGCACCCCGCAGTGCAGTGCAGGCACACAGCTGGGACTCAATGAACGTTGTTAAATACATGCTTTATCTTGAATGTGAAAGTCCCCAGGCCCACAACACAACCCTACCTTTGCAGGTTGCTCCTTGACTGCTGTAAGCCCACCTCTGACGAGAAAGGACTTTTCCCTCACGCCCTCCCCTGGACTTCAGGGGGCCCCATCTCCACCCTCCACCCCGGGCCCACACAGACCATCTGGACACGGGCACCTTACTTTCCTCCTCTTCCTCCAGCTCCTCCCCTGGGTAGCCAGGTAGGGGGGGCTCAAAGACTTCAGGGTATGAAGGCTCCCCCAAACTGTCATAGGAGTCTTCTTCTAGGTGTCCAGTAAGAGGAGACGGCCGTCATCAGCATGGGGGTGGGGAGAGGACAAGGGAGAGAGACAGAAGTCCGGTCAGAAGGTTCTTTTGAGCTCAGGCTTCCCTGCCCTCACCCACCAGCCTTGACACCGCAAGCAAGCTTCTCCAGTCCATATAAGAGGAATGGGACCGAGGCAGAGGATTGGAGTCCCACCCTCACTCGATCCCCAAGATGCCTGTAGGCTTCGTTTTCCCTTCGGCCCATCCAGACCGCGTGTCTCCTGGAGAGGCCAGGCCAGCCTGAGCTGGGTGCAGGACAGGAGCTGTCTCCAGTGACAAGAAGCTACCAGCCCCCTGGCACTCACCCATCTCTGGGTCGTAGGGGAGCTGAAGGGCTCCCTGGGAGGAGGGATCCAGCTTGGCCATGCCCACTGTCCACACCATGGCAGCTGGGGAAGGAGAAACGGGTCATGCACCAGGACCTCAGAGGCAGGTGGGCCAATCTGTGTCCCCAGAAGCCTGCACAGGACCCTCAGTTCCATGGCATTTGCTTATGCCCAATTGTTAGGAGGCCCCTGAGGGAGGGGTCCAGACTCACTGACCAGGTGAGGGCAGACAATGCCTTTTCCTGTCTTTTTTTTGCCTCCTCATAAAAACAATGGTAATAATATCAGTGAATAGCTTGATGAACTAATTGTCTTTATTTTATTGTGGTAAAAAAACATGTAACATAAAATGTATCATCTTAACCATTTTAAGTGTGCTGTTTAATAGTGTTGAGTATATTCCCATTACTGTGAAACAGTTCTCCAGAGCTGTTTCATCTTCTGACACTGCAACTTTGTACCCAGGGAACAAGCCCCATTTCCCTCTCCCCTCAGCCTTCCACTTTCTGTCTCTACGGTTTGACTACGCTAGATACCTCATATAAGTGGAGTCTCCAGTATTTATCTTTTTTTTTTTTTTATCCTCATCTGAGGACATTTTTCCATTTTTTACTCAGATAGAGCGGGAAGGAGAGAGAGGAAGAGAGAGAAACATCGACGTGAAAGGGACACATCGAGTGGCCGCCACCCACACGAACCAACCAGGGCCGGGGACAAACTGCAGCCAAGGTACATGCCCTTAGCGGGAACCGAACCCGGGTCTCTCTGGACCGCTGAGCCAAACCGGCCAGGGCTCCAGTATTTATCTTTCTGTGACTGGCTTAATTCACTTAGCATAATGTCCTCAAGGTTCATCCATGTAGCACATCAGAATTTTCTTTTTAAGGCCGAATAATGTTCCACTGTGTGTCTACACCACATTTTGTTTATCCATTCATCCATCAATAGGCACCTGGGTTACTTCCAGTTCTTGGCTATTATAAATAATGCTGCTGCAAACATGGTTGTACAAAAATATGTCCAAGACCCTGCTTATAATTTTCTTGGGTATTTGTCCAGCAGTATGGCAGCTGGATCATGTGACACTAATTGTGTTTTCTCTCTCTGGCCTGGAAACTCTCTCTTGAACTCACATCCCATATCTCCAGCTCTCCAGATGAATGTCCCCCAAATGCTCTCAACAACTGCCAATTCCATCCTTTCTGTTGCTCAGACCCAAAGCACTGACATCAATCCTGACTATTTCATGTCATATCCCAACCACTGGCCAATCTTGCCAATTCTGCCTCTAAAATGCCTCCAGAGCCCTGGCCGATTTGGCTCAATGGTCAGAGCATCAGCCTGTGGAATAAAGAGCCTTGGGTTCAATTCCAGTCAAGGGCACATGCCTTAGCTGCAGTTCGATCTCCAGCCTTGGTTGGGGTTGTGCAGAAGACAGCCGATTGATGTGTCTCTCACATCGATGTTTCTCTCTCTCATTCTCTCCCTTCCTCCTTCCCTCCCACTCTACCTGAAAATCAATGGAAACATATCCTTGGGTGAGGATTTAAAAAACAAACAAATAAAATGTCTCTAGAATCCAACCACATCCTAAGGCCTCTCTACTGCTGCCCCCGGGCCAAACCCCATCCCCTCTCCTGGGTTGTTACTCATTCTCCCTGAACAACCCTGGCTACTGCGTCTACTCTCTTTTTTTAAAGTACTATTTTATTGATTTTTTAGAGAGAGAGGAAAGAAGAGAGAGATAGAAACATCGATGTGAGAGAGAAACATCAATCGACTGCCTCCTGCATGCCCCCAACCAGGGATCGCGCCCGCAACCCAGGCATGTGCCCTGACTACGAATTGAACAGGTCTTCTCAGTCCATGGGATGATGCTCAATCCACTGAACCACAATGGCCGGGCATCCTGACTCTACTCTTGACCCAATACACTTGTTCTCCACACAGCAACCTGCATAGTCCTATTAAAATGTCAAGTTAGGCCAGTCCGAAATCTTCCAGTGAAGTCACATCTCACGGAGGAGTAAGAGCCAAGTCCTCACCACAGCCTGCAGGGCCTTGGCCCTCTGGGCCTCCCTGCAGGACCTCCCCTCTCCTCCCTTCCCTCCCCTTGCCTGGCCCAGGGTGCTCCCTGGGCACACCAGGCCCACACCCATCTCAGGGCCTTTGCATTTGCTGCTGTTCCTTCAGCCTGGAATTCTGGTCCCAGATTCTCCTAAGGCAGTAAACTGCCACCTAAGACAGAGGGCTTCCTTGACCACCTTAAGCAAAATAGCAGCCCCCTTTGACCCTGTAGTCCTTAGGTCTCTTACACTGCTTTCTCTTTCCACAGATCACCCCCCTCCTGACTTACGTATTAGTCTGTTCAGTTACTGTCTGTCTCCCCTCCTAGGAAGTAAGCTCCATCAGAGCAGAGATGGTGAATCAAAGTCCAGGCACCATCTCAGTCTTTCTACACGTGGTCTTGGCTCATCCTTGGACATGCCTGGAGTGTGCTTTCACACTCGAGTCTTCATTTGTTAGAGATTATCCAGAACTCAATAGCTGTTCCATAAACTGTTTCCCAGTGCACCCTGCAGACAGCTGAGCCCCAGAGAGTCAAGCTGATTAAGTGCCACCAGCAACAGACAGGGGGGCATTAAAACCACAGGGGTGTGAACTCCAGGAGGCCCGGGCCCACATAGGCCTGGCCTCTAGCTGTGTCTCCAATGCCCAGCACAGTGCCCACCACAAAGTGGGGATCTGACACATGTCTGCTGAATGAATACATACATCCAAACCCCTACACTCTGGCCTAAGCCCAGGAGCATCCCAAGTGCCTTCCCTGCAGAGACTCGCCTTCAACCAGCCATGCAGCTGTGCAGGAAGCCCACTGAAAGGTAGGCAGGCTCTGCTCCCCCAGACTCCGGTCCTGGAGAGCCCCTCTCCAAAGTCCCTTGCCCCCTGGAGGGTTGAGGGGGTATCCATGGGCTCTCACAGCACAGCCTGTGCCCACCACACACATGCCACTGGAGGCCGGATGGAACGAGGCTGTGGGGCCCCTCCTGCTCTAGCTTTCCAAGCTTCATCCTGTGTAACAGCAAACACTGTCTGCTGTCATCTCTGGAAGGTGGAACGACCTCCTGGGATCACCAGGGCCACCTCCTCCTCCTTCCTCCCTCATAGTCAACTCTGAAAGCCATGGCCAGGAAGCTGCCCCGGGCTCCCACCTCGGGCCTCTGACCCCACGTCCGGAGGAGGCACGAGGGCCACTCACATGAGTATATCAGGGCAGGAAAAATGGGCTCATTTCTCTCCTGGGCAGTCTCCACCAGCATTCTCAGCGGCCCTTTGGGGCACAGCACAGCCACGAGATCTGGGAAAACAAAGTTAAAAAGACATTTATTCCCCAGAATCCCCCCCACCCCTCCCGAGAGGAACCAGCACTCTAACACCGGAGTGCAGGGGGCAAGCCTGTCCCGGAGCCCTGAGTGTGAGGCTCTCAAGGTGGGCCCTGCTGTCCAGTCACCCAGCCGCAGGTCTCCAGCCAGTTTCTGGAGTCTGCACTGGCTGGAGCCCAGAGCGGGGTCTAAGAGGGCCTACTGCAAACAGGAAAGAGGCTGAACTTGGAGCCCTACTTTTCTGGGTCTTAGAATGGAAGAAACAGGACTGGTGATGGTAATCACACTAACACGAATAAAATAGCAGCTTACGCTTTGGATTATTTACAGGTACTGTGCCCAATCCATGCCCAACAAGTGACAGTCTGTCAAATGCTTAACAGTGTGAGGGCTCAGTAAACATTTGCCATTATTATTATTTACTTATTTTTTAATCTTCACCTGAGGATATTTTCCCATTGATTTTCAGATAGAGTAGGAGGGAGGGAGGAAGAGAGGGGGAGGGAGAAAGAGAAACATGAACGTGAGAGAGACACATCTACTGGTTGCCTCCGGCACAACTCCAACCAGGGCTAGGGATCCAATCGCAACCAAGGTACGTGCCCTTTACCGGAATCGAACCCAAGACGCATCGGTCCATGGGCCGATGCTCTAACCATTGAGCAAAACTGGCCAGGGCGACATTTGCTATTATTAATAAACCACATCAACAGTCATGAGTCTATGGGCCCCCACATGTTTTACGAAGCTGACTCTCTCAGAGGGGAGACCACGCAGGCCCCTCAAGGAGGGAGGAGGGGACCTTTTCAGCACCTGCCAGGTGAATGGCAGTGAGGACTTGGCCCTGGATGCTGACCCCACTGCCCGCCACCAGTCTCTTGGCCCGTCCATGCCCACTCACCATACACAGAGATGGCACCCAGGATGACCCACGCAGACCACTCCGGGAGGTACTTGATGAACACCAAGGCCATGAGCGCGCTGATCATGATGAGGTAGGCCTGCTGTAGCAGCAGGGGGCCCTTCCAGTGGACGCACACCATGCCCACCGCCCCGAAGTTCCAGACGACCAGGAACAGGGTGGGGTGGTCCATGGCCACGTTGTAGGTCTTCAGCACTTCCCTGCAGGGCCGCAGTCAAGCCCGCCAGGGGCACAATTCACCCCCTGCTCCTCAGCCGTAAGTCCCAACCTGGGTTTTCCTGCTTCTGGTTTCATTGACTAATACCCCTCCCCATTTCCACGAGCCCTGTAGCTAACCACTGGAACCAGGTGGGGAATAATCCCACATCTCATTCTTGGGGTGGCACAACTCGGAAGGACCCTAGCCCTTGGTGAAGGTCCTGGGAAAAGTGTTTTCTCCTCTCCTTCCTGTGTCTTTGGGCCCCTGGGTCAGGCTGATATCCCAAATCAAGGACAATAGAGATCCCTTCTGCCATCAACTAGGAAGAGCCCAGGCCCAGCCTGAAGTTTAGAATGTAAAATCTGAGGGGTTCTCCTGTCCTTGGGTTCACAGAGTCTCATCCATGACGGCTCTGCTTATTTGTTTTAAATTAGGGACCAGAGACATGTGGCCCACTGTGGGGCCCACTCCTGCGTCAAAAGCAGGCCTGCAGGAAGACGGGCCTGGGCTCTCAGAGCAGAGACACTGGGGAGGGTGTGGAGCCCAAGGGGTGCTCTTCCCCTGCCAGGTCTTCATGGCTGTTTGTGCCATGGGGCCCCCGAGGACCCTGCTGCTCACCAGCTGCCACTCACCCGAGGTAGATATAGGTGAAGAGAAACAGCAGCATCAGAGAGGACATGATCAACCAGCCATGGATGAACTAGAAACAGAAACAGGCAGAATAACCACATGGTGCCCCCAAGCCCCGTCTCACAAGGCCCTCAGGTTCTTGGAACTGATGCCCAAGCCTGAACATCTTTCTTCCTTAGGATCCTTTGTGACTATGTTCGAAGGTGGTCATTTTCCAGATAAAGAGGGCACAGAAATTCAAGGAGTTCTCTCAAGGTCGCCCAGCAAGTGTCTGAAGGAAATGAAACACCTGGAACTTTACATGCAGAAAGGATGTGCTGGGTGTCCCCTGCACACTAGGCACATTCTGGGCTCTAGAGGTAAAGCTGCCACGTCTGCCCACGTGTGCTGCGTTCCAGTGTGAGGACAGTGAGAGGACAGGAGGTAAACTTGTAACAGGCAGTGATAAGAGCTACGAAGAAAACAAATTGGCAGGACAGTCACAGGAAATGAGGGTGCTGATTTGGATAGAGTGGTCAGGGCAGGCTCTTGAGGAAGCTTCTTTTGAACAGTCAACCCTGGGAGTCCCTTCCCACCCGAGAGTCTACAAATGCTCCTCTTCTCCTGGCCAAACTTGGGAGGGTCAAGGATGATGGTAGGGCTGTTCCTAAGCTAGTCCCTTGGCCAGCCATCAAGTGACACTCCGTCCAGTCTCCCCACCTGCAGACAGACCCAGCTTGGGGCACTGGGGGTCTCAGGGAGGACCTGGTCTAGCAGGAGTAAAACTGGTGGCCTTGGTCAGGCTGTGCAGGCTGCCTTTGAAATGTGCTGACACTCTTTATCCCAGCCACTCCTGTCCGCCCAAGGCCACTACTATCGCGTGAGTGTGATGAGACCTTCAAGTAAACCTTACTGGACGGTCCCAGAATTGGTCACCTGACACATGCTGACCACAGCAGTGCTGGCTTCACAAGCTCTCCACGCCCCTAGCTGGTTTTCATTTGCGCTGTGTCCTCTGATCCAGACAAGCAGCCCTCTACCCTGCTTCCCACCATCCACTGCCCTCCCCACCCCAACTTAAAACTTTGGGGTTCATTTACACAGGTCATTATTTATTGATAAGCTTCAGCTCCCAGACCCTTCCTGACAGTCCCTCCCATCGCTCACCCTGACTTTCACCCCTCAGTTGGGAGGGGGCTTGTCTCTTTAGACTGAGCCGCCTCATCTCCCTCTACCTGCTCCATAGATGGTGGCAGCCTGAATACAAAGTGCTGCACACGCCTCCGCATGGACGGTTTTAAATTAGGCAATGCCTAGTTTAACTTCCTTGTAGTCCTCAGGGCTTCAAAGCCCTCCGTGGAAGGAAAACCTGAAACCCAGATCTAAAAGCTTATGGCATCTCTGGGGGCAATGCCCATGATTTGGGCCTGGTGGACTCCACTCCTCTACCACCCCCTGGGGCACAGCTACAGAGGGGCCCCCAACCAGTATTAGAAGACCCCATCACAGCACCTGTAGATCCCTAGCCTAAAGGGAAATGGGGAAAATAAAAATAAACTTGTAGGGGAAGTGTGGGGTAAAGGGAGCTTAAAATAGAACATCTCACTTCTTCAGAAGGAGAAGCAAAATAAAATTAACTCTGAATATGACAAGTGACATTTGAACATTGCAAGGATTAGGAACTCAGTTATGTGGGATTCTGTGTACGTTTAAAAGACAAGAGCATCGGGTCGTCCATGGTAGGGGCAGGAGTGGGTGGTAAGAATGCCAAAAATCAGAGTCTATTTTGCAGAAAAAAAGGGACTTGTTTTTTAAGCCAGTGATCCCTGCATGAGGCACTGCATGGTAGGTGGGCGGGGGGAGGAGGAGGGGGGACAGGCAGACGGTGGGCAGGGCTAACGTTCACCTTGTAGCAGCGATACTTGTAGAGCACAACCAGGAAGATGGTCATGACCACGATGACACTGATCATGATGAGGGTGTTGAGCACGGAGTTGAGGAGGCGCTGGCCCACCGAGGGCGTGTCTTCGGTGAATGGCGTGTAGATGCTGATGGAGAAGGCAAGGGCCTTGGTGTTCACTTCCTGCCTGTTCTGTGCCCTCCCCGAAGGAGCCTTGGCCCTCTGGCGGAGGTGCCCGGGGAATACCTGCCCTGCTGGAGTGCTGTCAATCATCCTCACCAGCTGCCCTGCCTTCCAACCCATCTCCTGGCTCCTGACCTCAGCCTGATGACTGGGCCTAATGTACAGCGGGAAAGGGCTTAGATGACTTCACCAAGACCTCCCACCCCCACACCAATGAAACCCTCCCCTGGAGGTATCCACCCCACTACTCTGCTCTGGTCCAAGGAGACCTGGTAGTTCCCCACATCCCCTTTACCATCAGCCCCATCCAGCCTAGGACTGCCCCCACTTCTAACCCACCCAATGTAGTCCAGCAGCTGCGTACCCAGCTAATCAACTCAGGAAGCAAGTCCGATGCCTCGCTGTCCAACCTGGACTGCTGGAAGCCACCTGCCTGCGGGGCGCTCAAGGTCTCTCAATGCTTTTCACCTGTGCTACTCTGAGTCCCCAACAGACTCTTCACTTCCTGAGGATAAGGCTTCTCTCTCTGCTCCTTTCTTTAACAACAAAACAAAGCATGCCCAGCCGGTGTGGCTCAGTGGCTGAGCGTCGACCCATGCACCAAGAGGTCACAGGTTCGATTCCCAGTCAGGGTACATGCCCAGGTTGTGAGCCCGATCCCCAGTGAGGGGCATGCAGGAGGGGGCTGATTGATGTTCTCTCTCATCAATGTTTCTCTTCCTCTCTCTAAAAATCAAAAAAGAAATAAAAACAAAACAAAAACTGTGTAACTTACAAAAAAATGTTTAGAGAAGGCCCTTGGCAGTGATTAACACAGGGAAGTGGGGTGAGGGAGGGGAATCTTCTCACTTTTCTATGCTGCTGCTTCTGCCTGCCTGTGTTCTTTTTTTTTTTTAATCCTCACCAGAGGACATTTTTGCATTTATCTTCAGATAGAGCAGGAGGAAGAGAGAGAGAGAGAAACATCGATGTGAGAAAGACACATTGACTGGTTGCCACTCACACAACCCCAACCGTGGCCGGGGACAAACCACAATGGAGGCACGTGCCCTTAGTAGGAATTGAATCCAGGTCTCTCTGGTCTGCAGGCCGACACTTTAACTGCTGAGCCAAACTGGCCAGCACTGCATGCGTTCTTTTTATTAAAATAAATATAATCTTCCTCACAAGGCTGGACGTGAGCTGAGAAATCTGGTCCAGCCATACCAGTTGACATTCATGGGAACAAAGGCCCAGAGAGGAAGCAACGTGTTTGAGGTCATGCAGTGACAGCTGGCACAGCTGTGTCTGGGACCTGGCATTTGGAACACCAAACTCAATGCCATTTGGCAAGAACATGCCTTCTGCAGTAAAATCCAGCGTGCCAGGGCAGAGCACTGCGGCAGGCACTGTGCTAGCCTTTACATTGATTAACTCACTTAATTCTCCTAGTAACCTTATTACCAAATCCATTATTCAGATGAGGAAACGGAGGAGAAGAGAGGTTAGGAATGTGCCAAGACCAGGGTGTGGACTCTGTCCCGGCTCCTTACTGCCGCTGGCAGGGAGCTGCAGGTATAGTGGCCAGAGGAGGCCACAAGCACCTGACCTAGCCTTGCTCCCCACCCTGCCAGGGCCCCCAACTCACAGCTGTCCATTCTTCTCCGTGTAGAAGCGCACGGATTTGATGGTGGCCACCACCACGACCATACACAGTGTGACAGGCACAAAGAGCATGATCACGTGTTTTGCCCCATATTTGAGGGTCAGCTCCTCCTCCAGCCCCGGCAGCCGCCCAGGGACCCCACTGCAGACATAGCGGTCAGGGTCCTCCTCGTGGTCCTCCTCATGATCCTGGCTTCTCTGTGGGAAAAACAAAACAAAACACTGTAAGGGCCATGGAATAACTCCCAAGGGTGGCCTACAACTCAGTGCATGGGTATTTTGGAAGGGAAAACAAGAAGTTTGTTGCTTTCCAGATGTACAAACCAGTCTACAAGCTATAGTTTAGACGTGGGAGTGTTGGAAATCCTAGGACACTTGAAAAGTTTATGACAACTAGAGATTTAGAGTTGGTACTAACCACCACAGACACAGAAAGGGAGACCACGGCTGCCACAGAAGAAAGTGGTCTGCGGGCCCCTGGCTAATGGGTTTGGAGCATGTCTACAGAGCTCTCCCCTACCGTAGTACATGGAATCAGGATACCCCTCAGTTCTGCTCACATGGCCACACTGATTCGGGTGGAGTCAGGCCAGGTGATAGGAGGAACCCAGAGAGTGAACATTTTGGGTTGACAAGTCACAAACTAGAATGGTCAGCACACATAGGGACTTCCTTTGATTATAAATAAGTCACTGGGAATTTGCAGAGGAAGAAATTACTTTGAACGTTTGCCCCCCAAAATTAAGCATGCAAATTTGCAGCTCTGAACCAGAGAGGCTAACCAGGTATCAAGCATCTGGGAGGATCTGTACTACGGAAAGTTGGGAGATCACAAATGAGCAAGCAGCAAAAGAGGGGGCAACGTCTGCCAGATGCTGGCACAGATGAATCCGCAAGAATTTCTGTTTTGGAATTGTGGCTATGCAGGGTCATTAGCTGCTTTGGTAATTATATTAACAGCTAAACGCAAAGCCGAATGAAACAAAAATAAAAAATGACAATTGTGCCCTGGCTGGTTTTCTCAGTGGTTAGAGCCCAAAGGGTCACAGGTTCAATTCCTGGTCAAGGGCATATACTCTTGACCTGGGTTGCAGGTTCAATCCCTGACCCTGGTCTGAGGTCATGAGGGAGGCAACCAATCAATGTGTCTCTCTCACATTGATGTTTCTCTCTCTCTTCTGCCCTCCCTTCCACTCTATCTGAAAATCAGTGGAAAAGATCCTCTGGTGAGGATTAAAGTAGCAAGAAGAAAGATGAAGAAACCAGCAAGAAAAGGCTAAGGAGTGGCTGTACAGTGGCTTTCAGCTGGTGAGATCTTGTTCAGAGCACAGAAAAACCACAGAAAAAAATTTTCTGCAATTTTAGCAAGGGGGAAGGAATTAAGGCTGGCTGGAAGAAAACAATTACAAATGGAAAGGTTTTTAAATACTCTAGTGAGATTCAGGCTAATTCAGTTGTGTTTTGCCCTGAGGGGAGGGAGGGCTTGGCGAGGTCACTCTCCAAAGTACATCCTCCACTTCATGTTATAATCTCCTGCCCTACAGGTTGCAGGGATAAGATCACAGTGCAACCCACCTTCTGCTATGAACTGAATATTTGTCCCTCCAAAATTAGTATCTTGAAAGTTAACCCCAATGTGCTGGTATTAGGAAGTTGGGCCTTTGGGAGGTGATTAGGTCATGAGAGTGAAACCCTTATAAATAGGATTAGTGCTGTTTTTTTACTTACTTATTTTTGTTACAGATGTTTCTCCTTTTTCCCCCACTGACACACTCCTCCCATTCCTGCCCCGCGCCTGCATTTTTGTCTATGTCCATTGGTTATGCTTATATGCGTAAGTTCTTTGGTTTAAGCCCCCCGCTGGGCTTTGTCAGTCTGAATCCTACTTCTTTGTCTCTGGGTCTAATTTGTCCATCTTACTTTGTTCATTATATTCCACAAATGAGATCATATGATACTTGTCTTTCTCTGACTGGCTTATTTCACTTAGCATAATACTTGCCAGGTCCCTCCATGTCATCTCAAAGGATAAGAGATCTTTCTTTCTTACAGCTGCATAGTACTCCATTGTGTATATGTACCATAGATTTTTTATCCACTCATCTATTGATGGACACTTGGGCTGTTTCCAGATCTTAGCAATTGTAAATAGTGCTGCTATGAACATAGAAGTGCATATATTCTTTCTGATTGGTGTTTCAGGCTTCTTGGGATATATTCCTAGAAGTTGGATCACTGGGTCAAATTGCAGTTCCATTTTTAATTTTTTGAGGAAACACCATATTATTTCCCATAGTGGCTGCACCAGTCTGCATTCCCACCAGCAGTGTCCTAGAGTCCCCTTTTCTCCACACCCTTGCCAGCACTTGTTGTTTGATGATTTGTTAATGCCAGCCATACCTCATAGTCATTTTAATTTGTATCTCTCTGATGATGAGTGACGTTGAACATTTTTTCATATGTCTCTTGGCCATCTGTATGTCCTATTTGGAGAGGTGTCTATTTAGGTCCTCTGCCCATTTTTTAATTGGATTCTTTGTCTTCCTTTTGCTGAGTTGTATGAGTACTCTATATATTTTGGAAATTAACCCCTTATCTGATATATCATTGGAAATTATGTTCTCCCAGATAGTCGGTTCCCTTTCCATTTTGATACCTGTTTCTTTTGCTGTGCAGAAGCTTTTTAGTTTGATGCAGTCCCATGTATTTTTTCCTTTGTTTCTCTTGCCTTAGGCGTTATATCAGTGAAAATTCTGCTGTGTGTGATTTCTCAAATTTTATTGCCTACCTCTTCTAGGATTTTTAAGAATTCACGAGTCACATTTAAGTCCTTTATCCATTTTAAGTTTATTCTTGTGTATGGTGTAAGTTGGTGGTCTAGTTTCATTTTTTTGCATGTAGCTGTCCAATTTTCCCAACACCATTTATTAAAGAGGCTAACTTTACTCCATTATATGCTCTTGCCACCTTTGTCAAATATTAATTGAGCATAATGTCTTGGGTCAATTTCTGGGTTCTCTGGTCTGTTCCATTGATCTATATGCCTGTTCTTGTGCCAGTACCAGGCCATTTTGATTACAATGGCTTTGTAGTACAACCTGATATTTGGTATTGTGATCTCTTCTACTTTGTTCTTCTTTTTCAAGATTGTTGTGGCCATTCGGGATCTTTTTTGGTTCCATATAAACTTTGGAGTGTTTGTTGTATGTCATTGGTATTTTTTTTTTTTTTTTTTATCCTCACCCGAGGATATTTTTCCATTTTTTGTACAGATAGAGTGGGAGGGAGAGAGAGGGAGAAACATCGACGTGAAGGGACACATCGAGTGGCTGCCACCCGCACGACCAACCAGGGCCGGGGACAAACTGCAACCGAAGTACGTGCCCTTAGCGGGAACCGAACCCGGGTCTCTCCGGACCGCAGGCCGACGCTCTAACCGCTGAGCCAAACAGGCCAGGGCTGTCATTGGTATTTTAATGGGGTATTGAATTGAATCTATAGAATGCTTTGGGTAGTATGGACATTTTAATGGTGTTAATTCTTCCAATCCATGAACAAGGTATATGCTTGCACTTTTTTTTTATATCTTCTTTTATTTTCTTTTTCAATGTCCTATAGTTTTCTGTGAACGGGTCCTTTACTTCTTTGGTTAAGTTTGTTTGTAGGTTATATATATATTTTTGATATTTTGTTCAGATAGAGTGGGGGGAGAGAGAGAGAGAGAGAGAGAAACATCAACGTGAAAGGGACACATCGAGTGGTTGCCACCCTCACGACCCAACCAGGGCCGGGGACAAACTGCAACTGAGGTACGTGCCCTTAGCGGGAACCGAACCCAGGTCTCTCTGGGCCACAGGCTGACGCTCTAACCGCTGAGCCAAACCGGCCAGGGCTATTCGTAGGCATCTTAATTTTTTTGTTGCAATGGTAAATGGGATTTTTTTTTTTTTTTAGTTTGTCTTTCTGCGTGTATAAAAATGGCAGTGATTTCTAGATGTTGATTTTGTATCCTGCTACTTTGCTGAATTTATTTATTAAATCAAACAGTTTTTTGATGGAGTCTTTAGGGTTTTGTATGTACAATATCATGTCATCTGCAAATAATGACAGTTTCACTTCTTTCTTTCCAATTTGGATCCTTTTTATTTTTTCTTCTTATCCGACTGCTGTGGCTAAGACTTCCAGTACTATGTTAAATAAGAGTGGTGAAAGTGGGCATCCCTGTCTTGTTCCTGTTCTTAAGGGAAATGCTTTTAGTTTTTGCCCATTGAGTATGATGTTGGCTGTAGGTTTGTCATAAATGGCCTTTATTATGTTGAAATATGATCCTTCTATTCCCACTTTGCTGAGTTTTTATCAAAAATGGATTCTGGATTTTGTCAAATGCTTTTTAGTCTATTGATATAATCACGATTTTTATCTTTCATTTTGTTTATGTGGTGTATCACATTAATTGATTTACGAAAATGTGTACCAGCCTTGCATCCCTGAGATAAATCCCATTTGGTCATGGTGTATACTTTTTTTAATACATTGCTGGATTCAACTTGCTAAGATCTTGTTGAGGATTTTGGCATCTATATTCATCAGGGATAGTGGCCAGTAATTTTCTTTCTTTGTAGTGAGTGTCTTAATCTGGTTTGGAGATTAGGATTATGCTGACCTCATAAAAAGAGCTTGAAAGTCTTCTTTCCTCTTGAGTTTTTTGGAATAGTTTGAGGAGAATAGGTGATAGTTCTTCTTTGAATGTTTGGTAAAACTCCCCTGTGTAGCCATCCAGACCAGGGCTTTTGTTTGCTGGGATTTTATTACTTCTTCTATTTCCTTAATTGTTATTGGTCTGTTTAGGTTTTCTGCCTCTTCCCAGTTGAGTTTTGGAATAGTATATGATTCTAAGAATTTGTCCATTTCGCCCAGGTTGTCGAATTTATTGGCATATAATTGTTCAAAGTATTTTCTTACAATCCTTTGTATTTCTGTGGTGTCTGTTATTACTTTACCTCTTTCGTTTCTGATTTTATTCATTTGGGTTCTCTCTGTTTCTTGTTGAGTCTGGCTAAAGGTTGATTAATCTTGTTTATCTTCAAAGAACCAGCTCTTGGCTTCATTGATCCTTTTTGTATGTATGTATGTATGTACGTACGTACGTATGTATTTTCAGATAGAGTGGGAGAAAGGAAGGGAAGGAGAGAGAGAGAAATCGATGTGAGACACATCGATTGGTTGCCTCCTGCACGACCTCAACCAGGGCTGAGGATTGAACTGCAACCAAAATACGTGCCCTTGATCAGAATTGAACCCTTGACTCTTTGGTCCAAAGACTGACACTCTAACCACTGAGCCAAACCAGCCAGGGCTCACTGAGTTTTTATATTGTTTTTCAGTCTCTATGTCATTCATTTCTGCTCTGATTTTTATTATTCCCTTCCTTCTACTAACTCTTGGTTTTTCTTTTTGTTCTTTCTAAATCTTTAAGTTTTTGGGCTAGTTTATTAGAAAGTTTTTTCTTCTTGAAGTAGGCCTGTATTACTATGGACTTCCCTCTCTGGACTGCATTTACTGTGTCCCATAGATTTTGTATTGTTGTGTGTTCACTTTCATTCATTTCCAGGAACTTTTTTCTTTCTTGATCTCATTGGTAATCCCTTCATTGTTTAATAACATGCTATTCAGCCCGCATGTGTTAAAATGTTTTTATTGTAACTGATTTCTAGTTTCATGCCATTGTGATCTGAGAAGATGCTTGATATGATTTAAATCTTCTTGAATTTGTAGAGACTTACTTTGTGTCCTAACATGTGGTCTATCTTTGAAAATTTCCTGTGTGCACTTGAGAAGAATGTATATTCTGCAACTTTGGAGTGAAATGTTCTGTAAATATCAATTAAGTCCAACTGATCTAGTTCATCATCTAAAGACTCTGTTTCCTTGTTAAATTTTTTTAAACAATTTTTTTTTCTTTATTGATTTTAGAGAGAGAGGAAGGGAGAGGGAGAGAGAGATAGAAACATTGATAAGAGAGAACATCGATTGTCCACCTCCTGCATGACCCCCACTGGGGACCAGGCCCATAACCTGGGTATATGCCCTGACCAGGAACTGAACCGGCAGGCAACCTCTTGGTGCATGGGTTGACACTCAACCACTGAGCCACACCAGCCAGACTCCTTGTTAAATTTTTGTCTAGAAGATCTACCCAGTGGTGTCAGTCAGGTGTTAAAGTCACCCACTATGATTGTATTGCTATTGATCTCTCCCGTGAAGTCCTCCCGAAGTTTTTAAACATATTTTGGTGTTCATATATTCAGTGTATATATGTTTACCAGAGTTATATCCTCTTGTTGGATACATTCTTTTAACATTATGTAGTGACCTTCTTTGTCTCTTATTATGGCCCTCGTTTTGAAGTCTATCTTGTCAGATATGAGTATTGCTACACCAGCTTTTTTTTTTTTCATTTTCATTTGCCTGGAAATTTTTTTTCCATCCCTTCACTTTCATCCTATGAGTCTTTTGTTGTGAGGTGGGTCTCTTGTAGACAGCATATATATGGCTTGTGTTTTCTTATCCAATCAGCTACCCTATGTCTTTTGATTAGAGCATTTAAGCCATTTACCTTTAAGGTTATTATTGATAGATACTTATAATTGTCATTTTTATTTTATGCCTGTGTTCTTCTCCCTCTATTTCTTCTTCTTACAACAGTCCCTTTAGCATTTCTTGCAGAGCTGGTTTGGTGGCAGTAAATTCCTTTAGCTTATTTTTTTTGTCTGTGAAGCTCTTTATTTCACCTTCAATTTTGAATGACAGCCTTGCTGGACAGATTAGTCTTGAATTCAGACCCTTGCTTTTCATTACTTTGTATACTTCATGCCACTCCCTTCTGGCCTACAGTGTTTCTATTGAGAAATCAGCTGACATGCTGGTTTGGCTCAGTGGCTAGAGTGTCAGCCCATGGACCAGAGAGAGATCAGCTGACAGTCTAATGGGAACTCCCTTGTAGGTAACTTTGTCTCTCTCTTGCTTCCTTTAAGATTCTTTCTTTGTCTTTAATTATTTCTTTGCCATTTTAATTATGATGTGTCTAGCTGTAGGCCTTTTTGGGTTCATCTTGCTTTGGACTCTCTGTTTCCTGGACTTATGCACTTTTTCCTTCACCAAATTTGGCAAGTTTTCTGTCATCATTTCTTCGAACAGGTTCTCTACTCCTTTCTCCAATTCTTCTCCTGGTACCCCTATGATGAGAATGTTATGTTTCGTATTGTCCCAAAGCTCCCTTAAACTCTCCTCTTGCTTTTTAATTTTTTTTCCCCATTGCTGCTCTATGTTTTTTCTACCTTGTCTTCTAACTTGATGATTTGGACTTTAGTTTCTTCTAATCTACTATTGAATCCTTCTAAGGAATTTTTCTTATCAGCTATGTTATTCTTTATTTCTACTTGATTTTTATTCATAGCTTCTACCTCTTTTTTATGCTGATTTAGTTCCCACTGAGCTCTTTATAATTCTCATTAAGTTGCTTGTAGTTCTCACTAAATTGTTTGAGCACCCTTAAAATTATTGCTTTGAATTCTTTATCTGACAAATTGCTTGCTTCCATTTCATGCGGATCCTTTTCTAATGATTCCTCCTTTTCTTTCATTAGGGTATTGTTTCTTTGTCTCACCATTTCAGCAGTCTGGTAGTTCCAGGTCCAGTGAAGGATGCTGGGATGTGTAGGCAGGTCGGTGTGTATCAAATAAGGCTGTTGTGCCTCCCAGACTGTTTTGGTGCATCGTGCCTCTTGCCTGCTGTGGGTCCTAGAGGATTGACAACCGGCGGCTGGTATTGGTCTGTCTTGGTAGGTACTGCTGGGGTGCGTGGGTCCAGCTGGTGGACTGTTAGGGTGTGTTGCTGACCTGGTGGGGCTCAGATCCTGATCAGTTGCTGCTGCTGCTGCTGCCGCTGAGGGTGAGTGTCAGCTCCTGGTTTACGCCACTACTGTGGCTGCTGTTACCAGGGGGTGCTCAGGGACTTTGCTGCTTCTGGGGGAGGGGATCCACTCCAAATCTGCTGCTGTTGTCAGGGGCAGGGGAGGGGCTCCACTCCAAATCCACTGCTGCAGTTGTCAGGGATGGGTCTCTGCTGCCGAGCCTTGCTGCTGCTTGGGCTGGGGTACCACTCCTGATCAGCCTCTGCTGATGCTGCTGGGAATGGGTCTCAGCTGCCAATTTGCACTGCTGTTGCCTGGGGATGGATGTCTGCTCCGAGTCTCTGTTGCTGGGGTTGTGTCTCAGCTCCAGAGCCACAGCTGCTATTGACGGTGGGGCCCCACTCCTGGGCCAGTTACTGCGGCTGTGGAGGATGGTGCTTGGCTCCGAGCGGGTTGCTGCTTTTGCAAGCAGATACCTTGACAGTGCTGCTACTGTGAGCTGGTCCGTGTTGACACAGCGGGGTCCACTGGTCTGATGGTGCAAGGTGCACTGGTGGACTCCAGTCGCTTGGCCCTAGCTGCTCCCCACTGCCTCCTCCCAGAGAAGACCAGCAGATCTTCCAAAATGGCGAGGCCTTCCGGCCACACAAGGAGAAGCACCCTGACAAGCCGCTTACCATGGTAGCTGGCTGCTCCTCTGTCCATAGCACCAGAATTTTCTGCCCCATGTTTCTGCACTGCTCAAAGTTGCTCATCCACACTGACGTCCATTCACACTCTCACACACTCACCTTGCTCTGGTCCTGCCTGCTGTCATCTTTGTACTCGGATTAGTGCCTTCATAAAAGGGATCACAGCTCTGGCCGGTTTGGCTCAGCGGTTAGAGTGTTGGCCCACGGTCCAGCGAGACCTGGGTTCAGTTTCTGCTAAGGGCACATACCTTGGTTGCAGTTTGTCCCCAGCCCAGGTTGGGGATGTGCGGGAGGCAGACACTTGATGTGTCCCGTTCATGTCAATGTTTCCCTCTTTCTCTCTTCCTTTCTCTCCCTCCCATTCTATCTGAACAAAAATGGAAAAATGTCCTCAGGTGAGGATAAAAAATAAAATAAAATAAAATAAAAGGGACCACAGCCCTGGCCAGTTTGGCTCAGCGGAGGAGTGTCAGCCCACAGACTAAAGAGTTGTCAGGAGCATGTACCTCGGTTATGGTTCAGTCCCTGGCCCTGGTTGGGGTCATGCAGGAGGTAACCAATCAATGTGTTTCTCTCTCCTCTCTCTCTCCCTCACTCCCACTCGGCCTGGAGATAAACTGAAAAATGTCCTCCGGTGAGGATTTTAAAAATAAATAAATAAAAGGGACCACAGAGAGCTTCCTCACCCCTCCCACCACGTGAGGACACAGAGAAGACAGCTGCCTATGAACAGCAAGTGGGCCCACACCAGACACCAGAACTGCTGGCACCTTGCTCTTGGACTTCTAGCCTCCAGAACAGTGGGAATTAAATTTCTGTCTATAAGCCACCCAGCCTATGATATTTTTGTTATAGCAACCAGAATGGAGAAGGCACCCTCTGCTCAAAAGTTGAACATGACAGGCATAATCATCTCTTGGTCATCACATCTGCCATCTGCCAAAAAGATTCCCCTCCGGCAGTTATCCCCCTGCTGTCCTTGAGCCTGCGTTACCTGTCCCAGAATGCAAACTCACTCTCATGTTCCTGCACTAGGAAGGTGAATCTAAGGCAGGAGTTGGGGGGCAGAGACTCATTCAGTCCACTGCAGTCGAACTGTAACAGGCTAGGAATGTGCAGAGTCTACTATAAAATCCCTCATAGACATGAGATCTGCCATGACAACCACCCACCTTTTTGGACAATTCTCACTTCTTTTTCCCCTCCCTCCTGCACCTGGGAATGTCTGGTTTCCATCCATTAGGCGCAGGAACCCCAAGGGTCTGTTTCGAGACCTCAGTCTGCTGATGAGAACCTACCCACTGGGCAGCACTCTCTCCATCCTCCGGGCCCTGCCTGCCTTCCTGGCAGGAGCGAGGTACGGGGCTCTCGGCTGACATCAGGGACGTCCGCTCATTGCACACTTCTTCCTCACTGTCAGAGGCCATGAAGGTGAGCATGGCCCTGTTTCCAGAAGTGCCTGGGAAAATAAACACAGGAGACCTCATTCTATTTCCCTGTGAGGCAAAGGCAGTGGAGGACGGAGGGGGTGGCTAGAGGCAGCTTTAAGACCTGGACACAGGTCCTACCCTGTAACAACCCACCAGGACACCATGTCAAATGACTGCTGTAAAACAAATCCCACAAGCCACCACTGCGGCTGCAATGGCCTTGAGAGACCGGCCTTAGGAGATTCAGACCACAGAAGGCAAAAACACCCAACTAGAAAAGTCAGGGCCACTTCAAGCTGTCTGCACACTCATTCAATCAATCAACAAACATCTGTGAGCATGTATAGGTGCCAACAACCTGCTGGGCTCTGGCGATAGAAAGATGAATAAGAGACACACTTTTATCCTTAAAAGACAAACAAAAAACCATCCGATGTAACAAACTGTATGATCCAGACATTCACCAAGTGGTGCAGAAGCATAAAGGGACTAAACCTGAGATCAAAAATGTTTTCTTGAGAAGATAACATTGTCTGATGAACACAGATCTTTCTAGATGGGAGGGAGGGGCATGGAGGAAGCTCCCGTCTGGGCCTGGCACTGCTGGGTGGGGCTGTGGAGTGAAGGGTCTCCTGTGCCATTTTAAGGAGGAGGTATATGCACGCCCCCCCACCCCTGGACAGTGTGACAGGCAGATCAGATCTGGTCACTGACCGGAAAAGGAGTAGAGCAGGGAAAGGGCCTCCCCTGAAGGCATCAGCAGGGTGGATGCAAGTGAGGGGACAGAATCAAGGAAGCGTCAGGAAGTAAACAGATAGGACCGGATGTGGGGATAAAACAAAGGGCAGATTCCAGGATGAGGCCAGGCACGGAGTAAGAGGGGAGGTGGGAGAAGATCGTCTCAGGGGAAGACTGAATTTGGTCGGGGAACCTGGGTGTCGGTGGGTTAAAAGGGAGAGAACATCTAGGAAGTGGCTGAGTACCTGGGTCTGGAGTGCAGGGAGGGAGATGAGAGTCATGAGTTTAGAAGTGAGACCACGTGGGGCAAGTATGTGTGCGTGTGCATGTGTGGGAAAGTACAGCTGTGGCAGGACCCATGGGAAGACTCAGGCTGAAGGGACTACACAGGACAGAGGCCTGTCCCCAAGGCCACTGGGCTGTCCTGAGCAGTGCATACATACAACAGTGCTATACAGAAGCCAGTGCAGCCCAAAGGAGGTGGGAAGAACTTCAGATAACCCCTGATGTATCAGACTGTCCCTACCAACATCCTGGGCTAGCTCTCCCCGTCACTGCCTCCTGGAAACCCTCAGAGCCGAGCTTCATGCCACTAGGAACAGATGCCCAGGTCTGCCCTCCGCTGAAAGGTTGTCTCCAAGTTGGTCACCCCCATAATTTATGATTTTCAAGTCAGTGGGTTCCTTCTAGCAGGGTCTGTGGCCTGGATTATTTCTGCATGGCCTTTAATTCCATTCCCAATAGGCACATGGCAGAGCCTACTTCTCTTTGTCCATCTTGCTGCCTTGGGCCCATTACACAGGGCTCCCTGTCGAGCTCAGATGGGTTTCAAAATGGATAAGCTCCCAGCGTTTGGATAAGACAAGCAAAGGAGCAACAGCAGTAGGAAGCAAAGTGAGATGACTGTGGGAGGAGGTGCCCAGGACACTGCACTTCTGGAGTTCAGATCAAGGGAGGGACAGTCTACTCACTGTCGGGATTAGATGTCCCAGTTGCAAGGAGTAAGAGGGATGAGAAATGGTAAGTAAGGAATCGCCTGCAGAGACTGAAGGAGGTGGGACATCTGGAAAGAAGTAACTTCCTAACTAAATGTGCGGGAGGGGGACCTAACGGTCAGTTCTGACAAGCTGATGTGGCTGAGGGGTGGGGACCCGGGAGGCAGTGGTGGGAGGTAAGGGAGGAGAGGCAGGTGGAGCCAGAGAAGGGTTCTGAACAGAAGAGGGACGTGAACAGGGTGACCTTGGTGAAAGCCGAGCAGCGATCTCCAGGCAGCACGTGGGCCTCCCCCTCTCCCCTGGGATTCCCTCTAAGACTGGCTCAGGCCGGGGCCACGGGAGGGCGGATCACTCCTTGATGGCCAGGTCTTGGAAAAGCAGTGTCTAACCAAGGGAGTTCAATTTTGGGGACACAGCTTTGTAGCCCCAACACACTGAGAGCTTGGGAAGTTCGCAGCTTGAGCTCCTTCATCTAAGGGAATCCAGGAGAACGTTCAAGTCCTCTTCTGTGAGACTCAGTCTTGCTAGATAAAACCTAAACAAACAGTGGCCTGGACCCAATAGTTCCCTCATTACTCACTCTGGCATCAGTGAATTCATTCTTATTTAAGAGGGGTACCCGAAACAAAGGCACGGCTGAATTTTCTCAAAATCATGTATCCCTAAACCATGACCTTCCCTCTGGAACAGCCTCAGATGTGATGTGAAACTATGGGTGCCTCTTCTAATAGTTTCCCAGCAAGTCAGTCTGGCTCGGGGCGTGAGTTAATAATGTAGTTACAACCTCCCTTCTGCTCTTCCCAGGCCTCTAATGTCCATGATTTATCTTCGCAGTACCTGGAGGGGTGGATCAAGGGTCCCTGTATCTAAAATGTGATAAGTTCAAAGTGACCCTTGGACCTGGGTGGTCAGGTCCCGTGCTCTTAAACACTATGTGAGCCTGCTTATTTAAGAAGCAGATCCCTGGACTCCATCCTGACCAAAGGTTCCGGGGTCTGCATTTTGAAACAGTCCTGGGTGGTTCTCAGGCTGGTGTCAGACCCTCCCTGGGGCTGCCCAGCCGAGGAATCAGATGCCCCAGTGTGGGCCCCCAGCTCACCAGCTCAGAGCAGCAAATGTTCGGTTCTAGTCGGCCTCCCTGTCCTCTGGGGAGGGTGCCTCACCCACCCACCCTGGCACGCCCACTGCTCCGTGCTACTTGCTCACTAAATGGGGGAGTGACAGTAAGAACAGTCCTTTCTCCTGAAAACCCTGCGTCTGGACAGCGAGCAGGGGCAGCCGAGGAACAAGCTTCTCAGTCTAGGAAAGCTGCCGCGGGGACAGAGTTCTCAGGCTGGAAAGGCCCCCACTGCTCACTGTGGAGGGAGGAGTGGAAAAACTGGGGCTCAAAAACCCCTGTACAAACTGGACCCGCCCTTATGAAGGCAGTAAAGTTTTCAAAAGCTTTAAAACATTCTTACGTTTTGATCCTGAAATACTACTTCTTGGAATTTGTCCTAGTAATAAAAGACTTACATAAAAACGTGTCTGTTGCATGTATAATTGTAAAAAAAGGTGAAACATGACTGAACTGCCTCTGTCCTATATGATATATCCACTTGAGGGGGCTTACTATATGACCACTAAAAAATCTTATTTCAAAGAATATTTAATAACGTGAAAAAATACCACAGGCTGCTAAATTTAATAGATATAAACCTTCACATATATAATCATCTGAATTTTCTTAGAAAACGTATATATATACACACACACACATACATACGTGTGTGTGTGTGTGTACATGTGTGTATATATGGCCCTGGCCGGTTTGGCTCAGTGGTTAGAGCATTGGCCCACAGACCAATGAGCCGCGGGTTCGACTCCGGTCAAAGGCATGTATCTCAGCTGCAGTTCATCCCTGGCCCTGGTCGGGGTCGTGCAGGAGGCAACCAGTCGATGTGTCCTTCTCACATTGATGTTTCTCTCTTTCTCCTTCCCTCCCACTCTATCTGGAGATAAATATAAAAATATCCTTGAGTGAGGATTAAAAAAAAAAAAAGGATAATGTATATATAAAGGTCTTGACAAAAAATATTACAAAACACTAAAGGTGGTTATCTTTGGATGGTGAGATTATGGGTGATTTTTACTTAATATTTTCCTGCATTTCTAAAGCTTCTATAATAAACATGGGTTGCATTTTCAAGCTATTAATTTTTTTAAAGGGAAATAATATCAACATTTGAGAGATGTTCTTCTATGCCTGCCTGTCCTGCATCCTCTCACCTGGATTAGGGGAGCAGATGGACTCGGAAGCCACTTTCCACCCTCTCCAGCCGCCCTTGCTGCCGGGCTCCTGGAGGAGAGCACAGCAGCTGGGATGTATTCCCTCTGCTTCTCAGCCGGAACAGAAGTCTAATGCCATCTGAAATCCTTGGAGGGAAAGGTCACCACCCAAATCTGTGCAGATAAACAACCTTCCAGCTCAATGTTTGTCCACCTCAGAGCAGCAGTGATGTCAACTCCAGAGGGAGGCTGACTCAGAGACAGGTGGGAGCGGGGCTGGGTGACTTTCCTACCACTGATGTCAAATCCTGTCACCCACCTAGCAACCAGCTCTCCATTCACTGAGGGGGCCGCAGGAAGTTGAAGAGGGGCTGATGAGGGCAGGGGGTGCCCAGTGAACAAGACTGTGTTATTCTGGAAACCCTTCCCAGAACAAAGCACGGTGGCCAAAAGCTGCTTTGGGTTAGGATACAAAATCAAACACCCAAAGTAGCCACTGCTCACACCCACCAATCAGCTGAATGGGAATGAAATGCTGACGTTGCCAAACCAAGGGACTCTGACCCAGAGAATTTCCCCAACGTGCTCCTGTTAGCTCCTGCAATTATGGAAACCTGGTGACCCAGTTTCTTAAACCTTCTTTCCACTTCAGAGAAATGTAAATGTTTTGACCTTAAAATTTAAGGCCAGTGGACCTCAATAGGAAACAGATTTTTTAAAAAATATATTTTTATTGACTTTTGAGACAGAGATAGAAACATCGATGTGAAAGAGACACATCAATCAGCTGCCTCCTGCATGCCTCCGGCTGGGGATCAAACCCGCAACCCCAGACCTGGAATCAAGCCAGGACCTCAATCCACTGAGCCACACTGGCTAGGCGGAAACAGATTTTAAAATGCCATGGTAAACACTGGTGCCTCATGGGAAAAGATGGAAACTGTAGCTCCAAAAGCAATTTGGGAGTTACTGCACTTACCACACCACGTATGACTGCAGAGAAAGGTTTGGATGCTGAATACTTCATTGTTTTTTTTGCAGGCCTAGTTGAACAGGCCACTTTCTACGGTCACACCTCGCAGCACTCCCATGACTCCCAGGCAGTTCCTAGTCTCCCCTTATACTAGGACAGGGTTCGCTAAGTGAGGAAATTCCCTTAGAATTTTCCTTAGAAATGTCCACAGCTTTCCTGCCTGCATGTGTCCCCAGACCTGAGCATCTGACCATGTAATTGGCCCTGGACGACCTTCATCCATCTGTCCATCTACCTCAGCCCACACCATGAATGCCATCATTTGCTAGATGATTCTCCCCAGCATGGGGGAGGAGGCTTCCGCCACATACTCCCTGGCTGCAAGGCCTCTGACAATTTAACTTCACATAGCCCATTTCCTTTTATGGGGAAAAAATATATAGGCACACCTTGCAAGAGTACTGTAAAAACTTGAGGTAATGTGCAAAGTGCCTGCACAAAGCAGATGTTCAATCAATGGTAGTTATAATGAAGATGAAATAGAGGCAGGGACAGAGTGAGAGGGGACAAGAGAAGCCTGCTGATGCCCCTCTTGGAAGGGGTCCAGGGCACTCTGGCAACCTGAACATTTTGTCAAGCGAAAGGACATGCCCAATGTCAGAGCTGGCAAGGAACTTAAAGGCCATCTAGTCAGCCCCCTATTATACAGTTAAAGAAACTGAGGGACAGAGGGAAGTCCCAAGACCAAAAGCCACAGTTACAATTCAGGTCTCCCAACTGCCAGCTGAGAAGCTCTTCCCTGCCCACTCGAGTACCTGTGAGGGTCATATACTGGGTGGCCCAGGGCCATGGTCACGCAGACGACCCACACAGCACACCACGTGGGCTCTCTGAGAGCTCTCCCACATTTATAAGGCACATGCCTTTTCCATAGACAGGTATGTGTCTTTTCTTTAATACACAGCTTCTCCAAAACACAGACAAGAGGTCAGTGAATTATAAATACTCACCAGATCACCTGCCACCTTACAGACTCAGTAGTATCTCTTCAGCCCCCCTCCCCACAAGTCCAGCCTGGGGGGCCTCCTTGTCTCTCCCTCTGCTATTGGTGCTCCACATGGGGGCAGAGGTGGTGGTGGCTTCAACATGGGCATGGCACAGGGACGAGAAGTGCCTACATGTGGGTATAGGGCAGGAGTCAGGGCACTATTTCTCTGGGTCAATTCAAAAGGGAGGGTGGGAAAGTGTCCTGCCATGGCATTGGTAAGAAAAATGGTCTACCCACCAATCAAATCCGGTTTTCCAAGAATACCCAAAGAAGGAAAAATTCTGAAGACATAACATTAACAGAAGAAATAGGACACAAAACCGCATCTCTAGTTTCCTACCTCTAACATTTTAACAGATGACTATATGTGTATGTGCATGAAGTGCTGTAAGGAAATGCAAGTTGATAGTTGTTATCACTGGGCTGAGGGCTAATGGGCTTTTAAAAAAATACTGCCTGAATTTTCAAGAATGAACACAGCAAGTTGATGGTAAGGTACAGCAGAAATGTGAGCATCCTTTCCATTTTTCTTCCCATGTTCCAGAAGACTGTTTTGGCAAAGAGCATTGAGCAACCCATTCTCCCAGGCAACGAAAAAGCTGAGCAAAATCGACCTATCTCCCCGATATCTGGTCTTTAATAAGGACTGATTTGAAATTACTCTTTCCTCAGGTTTTATCAAGGCACCCTCACCACCTCAAGCCCTGGATGCCAACACTGATTACACAAGGCCTGAAGCCCAGGTCAGACTGGCCAGCTCAAGGTGAGAACCTCCAGGCCCTGGTCAGCAGCAACCTGGAGAGCGGACCAGCCTGGGAACCCTAACATTCCTCCCCCGCTAGGCCCTCCTCCAGCTGCCAGAGTCAGGGAACAGGTGGAAATACTTGCAAATATTTGAGTCCCAAAGTAAAGCAACAGCTGAACACTAGCCAAAGGTGTCTTTAGTAGAAAGATGCATGTGACCTACACACACTGTTTTGGTTTCTTTAAAAAAAAAAAAAAAAGTATATATATATAATGTGTGTGTACATATTTTTTTTTAACTTTTTAAAAATTTTTTGCTTTGTCAGGTAGTCAGGGGACCACACAGACATTTCCTGGTAGCAGGGAAGGAACATGAGTGAGGATGAATGTGGGAAACCTCTTACGCAAAACCTCAAAAGATTAAAAAGCCAGCCAGCTGGGATCAAATCCTGGCGCTTAGTCACTAAAGCCATGTAACAGGAAAAGTTGCTTAACTCCCTGAACCTCCGTTTCCCCTTCTGTGGGCAGGTAAAACTACTGTAGTGTGATTGAAGCACTAAAGATAATTGTGACAACTACTGTACAAAATGGCTTTCTACTGTATATGACAAACTCATAAAGTAAGGTATGTTATTTCATGATCATCATTAATAACTTAGAGGCCAAGGTAGGTAGGGAATGCTTATTTGGCAAATCCTGTTTGTGCAGCGGGGCTGTGAGTAGCCACAGAGGAGCTGAGGGCATGGTGACAGGCATGACAACCTGCACCAGGCCTCCAGGCACACCAGAGTGGCAGCGTCTGGTCAGGCTCTTCCTTATCCTCCACTTTCTCAAACAGACTGAAGAGGACATGTATTCACCTGTGATACATGCACCAAGTAAGACGCTAGACCTCGTGCACAGGTGCTGCGATACCAAACGACGGAGAATTTTCCCTGAAAACCTGAAACAACCTCCATCTCACTCTGTAGCAACATTCCTCCAAGCCCCCTACTTCCAGCCCCTGCCCTACATGTCCCCTCATGCATGCCATGCATAAACCTGGACAGCCTGCCCACCTATCTGATGGGTGGCTGAGGCTGCAGCTGAGCTGGAGCCAGGATTCCCCGGCCCCTTCACCAGCTGGGCCCCAAAACACAGCTGCTGACATGTTTCCCTACTCCCACACAACCACATTCACACAGAGGGACACCTGAGGCTCACACACCTGCAGCAGCTTATCCAGAGCCTTTAATTACTGTTAAAGGTCTTGGCTTAAGGCCTTGAAAGCTCAGGTGTCTACAGAATGAACTATGCAGACATCAGAGGCATCCATACTGGAAGCCGGGGTCTGTCCTGATCAAGTTACTCTCAGCACAGACTTGGCAGTCCAGGATGTCAATTTTGGCTCTGCAACTGTTCTGGTGGGATGCCTCTCAGGTTCTTCACCTGTAAATGGGGATGCAGTTAGTCCACCAAGCAACCGTTCATACCTTTAAAAGGGAATACTCAGTTAATAGACACGAGCATTTCATCCAACTGTCAAAGGGCTGAGGTATGGTCCAAGGGCTGGACAGCAGAACTAGAGGCCAGAACAAAGCCTGCTTTGCTATATCCTTCGTGGGCGACCTTGGACAAAGTCACTTTAGGGCTGTGGGCTGAGTTTCTTCATTGATAAAATTTGGACTGGGGACTAGCTACTGTTTCATGTTCCTTCAGCTTCAAATGCTTGATTCTGGGGATCTCCCCACAGCTGTAAATGCCTGATAAAACAGCCAAACACCGCTGACCGCAGACCGCCGGGGCTCCAGACCCTCACCTGCGGTTCAGTTCCTCACACATGCGGGAAGACCCCCGTCTCTCCTCTTGTCTCCTCTCCTGCGCCCGCAAAGCAGTACCCAAGGCCGGTGCTACAGGCCTCCCCCGACTGAGAGCGAAGGAGGTCCCAGCCAGGAGGGATGAACAAATGTCTCGGTCCACATGCCTTCGAGCCCCACGTGCACTGCTCCTTTAAATGCTTTGGCCCTTTAACAGCTCGCACCGCGCCCACCTTAACGGGCAGTCAGGCGGCGGCGAAGACCCGGACGAAGGCCCAAGGCCTGAGGGCCACGCCCCGCGTCCCTTTCTCCCCCGAGTTCCCGGCCGGCCCCGGTCGTGGCTGTTCCGCACCCTCCCCTCTCCCGCCCCCACTCCGGCCGCAGAGGCCGGGACCGCGGCGCGCGCAGTGTCCGCAGCCCCGGAACTGGGGGACGGAGCGCGAGCGGCCGCAGCGAGGGCGCGCGGAGAGCAGAGCCCTACCCGCGGGTCGCAGCTCCCCTGAGGCCTCTGTGCTGTGGGCGACCGGGCCCCGACCGCTAGCCCCGGGCCCGCCGGCCAGCCGGCTCACCTGCTCCGCCGCGGCGCTCCGGCAGTGTTTACGCCTCTGGCCCTGCGCCCGGCCAAACCCGGCGGCGGCGCAGACCCCGCCCCCAGTGCCGACCCCGCCCCGCCCCGCAAGACTCCGCCCTCCTCCACCCTTGACGCAGACCCCGCCCCGTTGGCAAGGCCACGTTCCCGAACCGGAGCCAGACCACCCCTGGAGCTGCTGCGCGCGGAAGCCCGGCCTGTCTCCTGCCGCGCCGCGCGCAGGTCGGGTTAAACCTGACACCGAACTAGGCTCTGACCTTCCAAGGAGTGGAGGCTGGACCTGTATTCTAATAGGGCCTGGCAGCACCGTGGCGTGGTAGTACGTTTTCGGTCCCAGGGCCTACTTTTTCTGGATTCCTGCCTTGTGATCTTTAAAGCCAGAACAGGAGGGATAGTGAATGGACATTTATTGGGTCTCAATTATATGTGCTTTACATTTTATTTGTCTTATTTCAATTATCGAGGCAACTCTGTGCGGGGCGGGCATTAATATTGCTTTTTTACACACGTGGAAATGGAGGTCCACAAGGACAAACCTGTGCCCCAGATGTGCCTGGGTCATGAGTTGCAGAACTGAGTGTGACTTGAGGCAGCAGCCCTCTCTTACAAGGTTCCGTGTCAGGGCATGAGCTGGGCTGTGGCTGAGGGATCTTTGATTAATTCATTCCCTTCGTGGTTCTCCTTTGAGGTCATCACTCTCAGCTGCTTTTCACGTGCTGGGTTGTGAGGATGCGTAAGCGTCTTCCTGACCCTGACCTCAGTTTGGGAAGGGTTGGCCTCTGCTTCAGCTTTTGGTGTCTGGGGCATTGTGTTTTCTTTGAACACTTTAGAAACCAAACACTGCCCGGTAGACAGTGTGGGGTAGTGGAAACCACAGGAGGGTAAGAATCAGATGCACCTGGCTTTGAAATCCATTTCTTCCACTTATTTGCTGCATGACCCAGGGCAATGACTTAACCTCGCTGGGCCTCGGTTTCCTCGTTTAGTCTGTGAAGAGATGTAATGACATCTCTCAGGGGATCGTGGAGAGGATTCAAAGAGAAATAAGGGTAAAAGTGACGGGAGCACAGGTGACACTCAACAAATGTTAGTTGTCTTCCTCAACCTCTCTCTGTTTGAGTGGCGTTTTGAATTGTTTGACATTGAAATGACAGACTGTGTTACTGTACACAGACATTCTGCACCTCTCACTTCTGGTGAGTACAGGACTGGCCCTGTAACTGACCAGCGTCAACAAAGATGTTGCATGACTTCTGGACAGAGCGCTAAGATCCTGGACAGGCTTCACCCACTCTTTTCCTTTTGCGGGGAGATCAGCTAAGTTCCAGATAGAGGCTACTCCACAAAGCTGGGTTCACAGCTAACACAGGAAGAACATGTCATATGAGTAATAAATAAACCTTCCTTGTTTTAAGCCACTGAGACCCAGAGTCACTTGTTGCTGTAGAATAGCCCAACTTGATCTGATGGATACATTTGACATTCAGCATCTTGCAATTTTCATGCAACATTTTTCTTTTTAAACTTTTCTAAAATGGTGTATTTGCTGCATTTATGTTTTTGGTGGTGGGTACTTTATAAATAACTAGTTATTTTTCTTGTACAATGTGTAAACTGTGTAGAAAATACAGAAAAGTAAATAGAAAAAAAGAAAAACCACCCACTAATATTTTCATTGTTGTCTGGTGTCTTTTTCTAGTATTTTGATAATTTTTAAAAAATCTTTATTGTTGAATGTAGAATGTATTACAGATGTTCCACATTTTTCCCCCATTGACCCCCTCCTCCCCTCTCCCGCCCCCCCTCCTGCCTTTTCCCACACTATTGTCTGGGTCCATTGGTTATGCATATAAGTTTTTTGGTTTATTTCTTCCCAACACCCCCCAACCCCTTTCCCTTTGAGGTTTGTCAGTCTAGCAACCAATTTGTACTTCTTAATCTCTTCACCTTTTTCACCCCTTCTCCCAACCCCCCTCTCATCTGGCAACCAACAAAATGTTCTCTGTATCTATGAGAATGTTTCTGTTCTACCTGTTCATTTTGTTTTTAGATTCCATTGTCAATAGATATGTATTCATTGCCATTTTGTTTGTTCATATATTTTATCTTTTTCTTCAAAAAGACCCTTCATCATTTCGTATAGTAACGGTTTGGTGGTGATAAACTTTAACTTTTTCTTGTCTGGGAA